TATATATTTTTTTTTTTTTTTTTTAGAAATTGAAATGCAAGTTGAAATATTTGCTATATTTTCAGTGAAATTTATTATATTTCTTAGCAAGATAAATCTTACTAACACTCCATGTCTGCACTACTACACTGAGACAACAAAATTTTTAAGAAATAAAACATATTTGTTCGGTGGATACTATCAACATACTTATTTAAATCTACATTTTTTATTTAAACAGATTAAACAATTGTTTTAAAAAAACTAAATTTTCAAAAAATTGTATGTTTTTTATTTGAAAAATATTGTATATCAACACAAGTAGATATGTTATGTCATTAATACTCGCCAAATAAATATTTTTTATTCCTTAAATCTTTTTCTCTCAATGCAAAAACGTCGTAAAATTAAAAAGAATTCATATGAAAAAAGAAAAAAAAATATAATATATATCCTCTCCGTATATTAGTGAAGTATATTAGTATTTCCTGCTGCGTATAGCGTAAAGTAAGAGAGTCATATTTAATGAAACGAAATAAATTCTATAATCGCGCAATGTATAATGTCCTCCTGGATTTCATTCTTAGGATTATCCTAAGCTGGGATTACCTAGCGAAATCCGGACCGAGCTCCTTCGCGACTTTAACGACGGAGACTACAAATTTATATTGACACGATGCACACTTAAATCGGTGCCAAAATAATGTATAACAATCTTTGTATTATACATACACACGTATATATATATATATATATATATATATATATATATATAAAATATTTTTTATAGTAGTTATAATACGAATAGCCCACAACAAAAGAAGGAGCAGCTAATGCACCACTTGTTAAAGTACAGAAGTAATTTCCGTCGCTTCTCCGAAAGACGTTGGATAAACGAAGGTAAGAAAGGCAAAGGTAGAATAGGTACGAACAGAAGACTCGATTAGCTGCATCCGATACTATCGTCCTCGACACGCGCGAAGGAGAAACGACGTGAAGGGAAACGCGAACGGAACGCGAGACAAGCTTACCGAACGGAAACTCGCATTAATCCGTAGCATTATGTGCTTTTCTGCCGCCTCTTCTCGTTCATCGCTCCCTATCGTCCCTATCCGCTTTTCGCTTCATTTCGCCGATTCGTGCTATGATATGACAGTATTCACCGCGCGGTGGCGTATGGCCGTTTGCCCGACACCGGACATCGGTGGCACGAGAAGCCACGGTGCATCTCCGTTTTAAGGGAGTCTCAATCATTTTAAATTAAACTTTTTGTCATCATTTGGGAAAATAGTACAAATATAACAAAATGTAACAAAATGACAGAATATATGACAATATGACAAAATATAACAGAATATGGTTGCATCAGACATTAATTGATAACGAAGCTTGAATTTCAATCGACATTATTTTTTACTATTACTTTGCACATTTTACAGAGAAAGGTTTGAAAGACAGCAGTATATATAAAAAAAGATCTTCAAAATTATAATTATTACTTAATCGTGCATTAATGTTTTCTGCAATTATAAATTTTCAACTATAAAGTAAATGTCTCTGTAAATGAATAACATCTTATAATAACATCTCGTGACTGAGAGATATTAATTAGGATATAAATAATTTTTTAGTTCATTTACTGATACAACCGGTATTATCTAATATATTATTTAATATGTCATAAAAATTACAATTGATATTTATTGATTATTTTATTTCCTATTATTTTTCTATCGCTGACAAATCAATATTTTATATAAATGTTAATTTTGTCAGTAATTCTATTAATTATTGCTTTTTTATCAGTTCATTGAGACATTTGCCTTAAATTAAAAATGATGCCTACCTTATTGAACTGAAAACACTGACTGTCATTTCTTGATTGCAACCGTTGCACAGACTGTCGGGACCCTTGATTATTTCCTATTGTTTGTTGGGAGATATTTCCTTTATTTCATTGTTTGTTCAACTTTGTCCACAATTTTATAATTGTGTCTGAGATGAGATATTATGCCTGTAAAAACATATTTTATTTTAGCAAAAATCTATTTTATGCCAATTCATTCTTTGATACTTTAAATATCATAAATCTTTGTCGTAATTTAAAAAAATTAAAAAGACGATAAAATATATTTACAATAGACATTGATTCACGATAGAATATGAATCTCAATTGAGACTGTTTTAAGTCCACATTAATAGTTGTCATCTGAAATTTGTTTCATATGATATACTTAAACTTATATTCAGAGTCAGATCCAAGTTTTTCAGTCAAATCATGTTACATGTGACATTCCTATCTATAAACATGAAAGACTCATCTAATTCTATATTTTAATGTATCTCACTTTCTTTACGAAAAAAAATACGAAAAAACCCTCAATTTTAGAAACACCCAAAAACTGGGGATAAACACCTAAATTTGAGTGTTAACACTCCAAATTGAGAGTTTTTTCGTATTTTTTTCGTAAGGGTTGAGATGAGTTTCAAACGATAACTATTAATATATGAGCTTTTATACAGTATTGAACCTTTTTCAATCAACATTTGTCTACCACTTACCTCAAATGCCGTTTTGTTAGTCGCCATATATAATTTGAATATCTCGTAAACTGAGACAGATTCGTTAAAACGCTCGAACATAGGTTAAATAGTTTTCGATGTAATTTCACTATGTTAAAGCGCATAGCGATCGACAAGCGAATTCCTGAAAATAGTAATGTATCGACCGATCGCCACGCAATAAAATACGGTAAATCTGCATTGAAGTATGCTTTACCTGTGTTCGAGTGTTTCATTTAACTCGTCTTGATTTCCGAGATTTTTTAACCGCGCAAATACCTTGCATTCGGCGGCCTGCCTTGTGCCATCTAGCGGAGCGAAACAGATATTTGTTCACTAAAACGGTTTGAGTATCGGCTAAAGGACCGATAAATGTTGGTTGAAAAAGGTTCGGATCTTGAGTATGTGACGTCACTTTTAATCCCAAAAATTCCTCTACGAGTCGCCACTTTTCTGAACGAAGAATCAGAGGAACACAATCAATTTCCTAACCTAAAATTCACATATGATCGCGCAGTAACGCTTTGAAACGTAGTGCGAGTTGAGTGAGATCTAGTCTAAAGAAAGGAGATGAGCGATGCCGAGCTTCAGGAAGAGGAAAGAGAAGTACTGTCCTCGATATACGATGGCGATCCAGCTTTCAAGCAGTTAACACCTACGATATTTCAATACAAGGTGCGAGAATTGTTTCTTACAGTGACATAACTCCGATAACTTATTTAAAGAATGCGTGTCTCCACAGTAATTCAACATAAATTATGACAACATCGTCGTCTACGATTTATTATTTCAAAACTATTACTCGTTTATCATAATATATTTAAGGTTCTCAGCCCCAGGTTTTCGCACCATCGTATAATTCCAACTCTCTTTCCTCAAAATTTAGATATGCACACTGCTGCTTTATTCAGCAGCAAAAAATACAAAATTTGCAGTGCAGTTGACAACGTAAACAACTGTTAATTTTCAATCATAAAAGGAACATGTTTAAATCCTGTGTTCAAGTTGCACCCAAAGAAAAGTATCTGTAATATTTACACAAATGTCATAACGATTTCTCTTGTACAGTACGGAGAAGATAACGATTCAAAGTCATTTCTGCTGGAAATATCATGGGGCGCAACATATCCTTCAGAGAAGCCAACCATCAATATGAACATATTTTATAACAAACATATGTAAGTGCAGCTGTTTGACTATGCTTGCATTCGATTACTTTGATTAAAGATGAATAATTGGAATGCACAGAGTGCAAGAGGTAAAGGACAAGGTGGTGAGTCACGTAGAGGCAGAGGCTGAGCAATGGTTAGGTAGCGCTATGACGTATACCTTATTTCAGTCTGTCCAAGAACATTGCGCAGACTTAGTATCCAATCAACCGGACTCAGTCACAGAAGTAAATTCCTACACTAGTAAACTCAAGATCGCGGATGAGAACCAACAGGTATATCATCCAACTGTTTCGTTTTACTCTTGCCTGAAACCGTTATGAACGTTATAAAAAATAATATTGTTCTTCAAGAAAATAAATTCAAACAATAAATTAAAAAATAATGAAGTAAATTACTTTAAAATAATATTGTCTCTAAGATTGAAGAAACGACGAAAAAACCGAAGAAAGAACAACTAACCAAAGCTCAGAAGCGTAAGCAGTGGAACAAGGCAGATGGCAAAGGTGAGAGACCACGCGGATGGAACTGGGTGGACATAGTGAAACATTTGTCGCAGACTGGCCCTAAATCGGAGCAAGAATCTTAGTTCGAAAGTCACTTGCATCATTTTGTACAGTATAAAAAGCATGCTATATTTTTATAAATGTTGGAAATAAATAAATAATTTCTTCGTATCTACCTAGCACAGTGGACTTATTCTTTTATTGCTTGTATCGTAATAAGTATGATTTTCTGATCAAAGCCTCGTGGAAGAAATCTTGTTTTAATATGCAGTACATTTTAACAATTATTCTCGTTATTCGGTGATTTCTGTACACAATTTCCATACGTCAACCGCCAGTAAATTTGTTTCCGTTATCCACCCTGGAATTATCAACAGTTTACGTATTTACACTTGACGACCGCGAGATGTCAACGCACAGTGACTTACATACCGTTCGTCTCCAGACTGCCAATGAACGCTTTGTACTCATTAGAGACAATCAGATCTGTGATACAGATACTTTGAATAGCTAACGACAACTGTACATTACTATTTGGATTTGTGAACTTCTTTCGGAGAATGTACATGTTCAATAGTGGATACGATGGCTCAGACGTTTCAGAATACAACAGCAAGTCCTATGTAACATCCAAAGTATAATTATAATATATTATGTGTTAACGAGACGGGGAAATGTATAGGGGAGCTTTTATTACTCACAATCGGTATTTGTTTCATCATACAGATGTAAAGGCCACACATAGAAGCGTAAAAGTATCCTTCCAACACTTCGATAGGTTTTATACCCTTTTTCAGAATTATAAATATAGTTCTTGCTTTAACATCTATCGTTATTACATATTTCCTATCCTCGAAGAATTTCAACAAGAATTCCATCTCCATGAACGAAATTACATTTCTCTTAAGGATACTTGCAAACGAGGCACCAATCTTTATGTCAAAACCGCACACTCTTTTCGCTGAAATTAATGCGAATTCACGAAAGTCTGTTAGACAATCAAGAAACATAAAGGAGAAAATTAGAAGCTTCATTATTAGGAAACAATCTTACAAGGATTTCCAAGTAGAAATACAGATTCTTCTCTATTGATTTTTGGCGGCTCGGAGATTCGTTCGTTTATCATGTAATCTTTAATTATCAAAGCCAAACGGTCTTCATTGAGCATATCTAAACATAGTGCTTTAACCGCCGAATAATTTGCATAGAGATGGACTGCCACCAGGAAGAGATATAATTCTATTAAGTATCTATATGTGCATTATACTCAATCATTATTAACAGCATTCATAATAACGAGAAAATATTAAAGGATATCAGACACATACCGTCCATCATGGAACAAAGATAGTACGAAGATTCCCAAGAATGACGCGATCAGATTCACACACGTCTCTTGACTGCCGTCCTTTGCGGAAACATCTGCCAGATTATTACGTATCGCCTGTAAGAAAAAATAAGAAATTGTCAACATGGAATTGATAAAGAATTCTGTATTATTAAGAATTAATAGTCCCACACCTGGTGTTGAGTCAACGCTGCTCTTGTAGCTCCACCAGCTACACCGACGACGGACTTCATGACGGTCGACGTGCACAGAATTTGTACAGAATACGACGAGAAATACGGAACGAGCAACTCTATCCCCATTGCCACATCATTCAGGATATCTGCAAACAGTCGCCATTTCTTGCACTGTCTGTCTAGTTGACTTCTAAAACAGGAGGCATATTCAGGATCTTAATATTAAGCATTAGTCACAAATGATAAGAGTATGTATTAGGTAGTGTAGTTAAAATCTCCCTATATATACATGTTGTCTGTTCCTTACCCATTCCACCATGCAAACATTATACTCCCAATCATACCAGTACCACTTTTCAAAATCCATGTTATTGCTGCTGCCAAGGGTGTAGCACTTGACTCACCAACTCCTATTCCTTGCATTATAGAATGAGTTGTGAGTGTACCCATTATGGTGCTCGCAAAAGCCTGCAGAATATTAATCTAGTATTAGTCATAGTAACTTTTTAGCCAATAAGTATATCCTTTCACTGAATAGATAAATGAAAAAGATATCTTTTATAGATTGATTGAATATAGTTTATAAGCCATATAAGCTTTGGTATACAATCTTGCTTTATATATTAAGTAAATTGGCTGCGTTCAGCAGAGACAGCTGCTTTGCAACTGTTGTAAAATTCATGAATCTGATCGGTATATGCTCTTCGATTCAGCCAAGATTAAGAACATATACACTGATCAGATTTACAAATTTTACAACAGTTTCAAAGCAGCTTTCTCTGCTGAACTCAACCATTGACCAATCACAGTCGATTATTTTTAAAATAATCGACTGTGGTTAATGAATTTGCTTACGGCTTGAGGCAGGATTGTGTACCAGGATTGATAGAAATACTCAGACTTCACGGGCTTCTTCGTGAAGTACCTTAGAAGAAATTAGTACTAAACACAGCCGTCAATTAAAACTTGAAACTTAGTTCGTGCAGAGCCTTAATAGTTATTGAACATACGTCAATTTAACCGGTGGCGATTTAGACTAACCTGTACAGTGTCCCATATCTGATACGCTGTATAATCAGGATGCACGCTATCCGGATATCCTTGTGGCAGAAACACCTCCTTTATGAAGGACACGAAGCGAGCGTAAATAGTCCGCGATTCAATCGTCTCGGATTTCACCACTTCCACGCTGGAACCATCTAGCCAACAGGTGTCATACGTATTAGCGTACGTGCAATAAAGATTTCGTCGTCGTCATCGTCGAAATCACCCTCTGTTACCTTCCGACTTTATGTAGACCGTCTCCTTCTCGTCCCCGCAGCTCTCTCGAAACAAAACGCGCATATTCGCGTGAGTTCCACGCGGGAATTTGCTCACTAACGTTCAATGATGTTGCTCGCGTCGCCCGCCGTCCGATTCCGGTGCCGCACTGCGCTCTCAGCTGTTCCTTCTCGTTCCTGCGCTTCTCCCGCCGGCGAATATCACACAGGCGTCGCGGATGATCTCGTTCAACTCGGCGATGCACAAATCCAATCTCTTCCTCGCCTCATTCGTGTGATTTCCCCGATCAGAATCCGCAGCAGCGCTTCCTCGCGTAAGGTCTGAATCCGCTCTGCGATCCGAAAATTTTATACTCCGTTCGTCGCGAAAATGATTGTCACGTTCGCGATCGCTATTCTTCCTTTCATTTTTGAAGTCAGTTCCGGTGATTCCCTCTTTATTACATGGAGAATCGATGATGATGTTAGAATCGTTCCTAATTGATTTTCGCGCTTTCAGGTTGTTGTTATTGCGTCTTAATATTTTATGCCGGCACAATCCGAGGCGATTCAATTTCGCCGCGCGATCTTCCGATTTATTACTTCCTTTCCGTTCGCCATTGACGTTCTTGTTGGTAGCGCTTCTTATTTCTTCCCTATTGTCTTTGAACTTCTTCCTTGCACACAGAAAAGAAATTTCAAATTGTGTAACCAAACGAAAAACTATATATGAACTATATATAAAACTTTATATATAACTCTTCATATAAACTTTATATATAACTCTTGATATAAACTTTATTTCTGTGAAATAAAGTTTATTTCTATGAAATAAATTTTACTTTTATGAAAAATACGCTCTTAATCTCAAATAAAGTTTAAAATATTTTTTTCTCAGTGTATAACCGAGTTTTTAGTTTAGTCCTTAGGTAATAAAAAATTTAGTCACACTAACGAAGTTATCTCTTTCGTATAGATCTGCATCACTCGTCGATCTCTCTCCTTTGTCAATCAAATCGCAAGATCGTTCTGGTCTCGCATCATCGCTAATTGTCTTCTCAATTGGCGCTTTGATCACTTGGTTGCCTGGCTCGTAAATACTAGACTTAAATTCATCCACTGAAACTCTCTTTTTCTCTGCTTCTCGTGTCGTTCTGTGCTTTTTGGATCTCGGCCGGAAACAGCTCAGAAACAAATAGCCATTCTTCTCACGTCCGATGGGAACGTCGTACTGTACGCCTCTGGAGATTCTCTTCCTCTTGATTTTCGGCGTCACTGCATTTCCGGAGCTGCAGTCACAGTACGTCACATCGTGTGCGAATTTGTTTTGACACCTGCCGTGTTTCCGCGATTCGTCATCGTCGCGGGCAGACGACGAGATCCCAACGAGATTTCCGCGGTCTCTTGATCTCCCGTCAGTTTCTTCGCCGAATTTTTCCGCGTCCGAAATGGACTCTCGATACGTTCGCGACGGTTTAGACGCGCGCGATCTATCCGGCCGTTCATCATTTCCGATTGATTTATCGTCAGGCGGGTAATCCTCTTTAAATACGGCCGCCTCGTGGTGCGCCGCTTTTACTTCCCGGGCACGTTTCGCAAATGATAAACGAGCGGATAAATCAGTGCCGCCCGGCGAATCGTCCCTCTTAAAATTTCTTTGCGGCTCGCACCGCGCGCCCGTTCGTCTCCTCTCGTTTTTCGTCGAATCATTAAATTCCGACGGCGCCGGCCTGGAATATCAAGAGGCTCTTTTCATACGCGACGTATTAATCCACCATCGCGAACGGGCAAATGGTGTGCGAATCGATTATTTCAAATGCGAGTGCCGCGAAGAGTGAGCGAATCTCTTGTCTCGGCGGTAAGAACAAACCAGCGGATAATATTCCCGAGCTACGTTAACAAACTTTCCCGCTCGATTTCGATTACCTCGAGCAGTCGCGCGCGAAATCGTTTGCATTCTTGAACGCGTCAATCTCCTGTCGCAGCCGCGAGATCTTCTCGTTCAGTCCGGCCAAGGCGGCGACGATGCACTCGATATCAATTTCCGCGCTGCAGGACCGATACACGGGCGGTCCATTTGCGGCGCGCAGATCCATCAGCGGCTGTTGTTTCACAGCTCATGATCGTCTTGTAGCTTATAACCAACGCGACATATGTCACGCACGCAAATAACGTCGCATCGTTCGAGACGTCGAGACGCGAATGATCTTCACGTCGCAGATCATTCGTTCCTCGGAGCTGACTAAATTGTCAAGAAGATCGACATTAGTTGCAAGACCAACATTCAAGATGTAATTGCGAGACAAATATATTATCACACCGAAAGTCCGAGATGGCCAACAACGACATCGACGACATCCTGGCGCGCCTCGACGAAATCAAGAAACTGCAGGCGGAACTTCGGCATTTGGTGCCTCGAGTCGCCAGTAACTCGTCCAGAGCCGGGCCCCAGGACTTGACCAGCGACACGTCCGCGTCGATTCGCTTCCCGTCTCTTGTCACATTCCCAGGAGTCTCGAGTCTCTCTTCGTCGTCCACGACGAACGGGCGAGTACAGAAGTCGGCCATGCACTTGAATCTCAGCAGTAAATTGTCGCTGAGTGACAATCGGCCCTCGACAGCTTCTCTGGCAAACGCCTGGAGGTCCACGAAGACCAGATCGTCTGTAAAGGAAACGAATGCCTTCAGGGATTCGCCGAGGAGCGCGCACGATGTCGCCGCGAAATCGCTCGCGAAAAACTCCATCGTCCCGAACACCTCCACCTCTGCGGCGAACTCGACGAGGATCACGCGGTCTCTGACGAAGAGCAACACTGTCGGCCGAATCGCCAAGCATCTGCAAGGAGCAATTAGGAATGGACCGAACAACGAGACTGCGTCTGCAGACAAAACGCCGCGCGCGACTCTTGAGAGATCAAATCTTGCGTCTAAAAACAGAAATCATTCGAATGCGAGTAAGTAGTTTATCGTATAGAATATTAGGTTGGTGTGAAGAGTCATTTTTATATTCAATTTATGTGACAAGTTTGGATATTGGAAAAAAAAATAGATGTCCAAAAAGTGCACATCCGTCGACACATCGTCCAATTTATTTTTAAAATTTACTATTAAGTAATTTAATAAAAATTCTTAATCCTTCGAAACTGGATAATTCGATTTTCTATTTTATTTGACAAACACGACCAACTTTTTGCATCAATCTAATATTTTCCTAATTAAAATTTTAATATAATAAATATACACATTTAATTAATATTTAATATAATTTTATATATATATAATACAATTTTAAATATAATTTCAATCACTATCGAGGTGTTTTTATGTGGATTCTTTAGTTCCATTATTTTTTTTCGACTTTGTGTTAATCCATCAGTCTCTCTCGACTCCTGCGTTCACAGTACACTCGTCTGTGCAGACATCAGGTGTGCCAATTTGCGCGGAAAGGACGGCGAAATCACGAGGAACGCAGTGGTGGCTAAAAAGAAATCGTCATCGTGACAGAAATGGCGTGCAAAGGCGAACATTTTTTGAGCGAATCATGAAAAAATGGAATTGCTGCTTCGTGGACGAAAGGAGGGTCACCGTGCCGCATCATTATCCGGGTAGTGGAATACCTAAAAGAGTACACGTGCGCCATACAAGGATGAGCGAAGATGAAATCCTGCAGGTCCGTGTGTCTGCGGCGAAAATTATTGTCAACTGACATGATCTATAAAAATTGATCGGACCTGAGAACACACAAGATGAAGAACAATGAGAATTCGTAAATAAATTTACCTCGAGAGAAAATCAAATTGTTGCGTTAATTGGAGCGTTAATTTACATTCTGCGCCAGGATTAAGATGTTCTCATTGGGTTAAATAATTAATAAGATTATCTCGGACAAATACGTCATCGTTTCGGGAGAAATGTTTCCGATCGTCGGTAAATAAACATTTTTTTTCATGACATCATGAAACTATATAACATTACCCAGTGAGAAATGACTTATTGATCAACGTCGAAAAGATGTTAATTCGACGTCGAAATCGTCAAATAGACGTCGATTCGACGTCTTTTCGATGTCGATCGATAAGTCATTTCTCACTGGATAATCACACATTAACGATTATACTTTCATTCGATGAAAGCATTTTTAATTTAAAGCATCTAATTAGAAGAAAAAAGAAAACTACGAAACTACGTGTCTTGGTTATATCAAATGTTGGTAGATAGATATTTATTTTCCTTCAGCTTACACACACACACACACACACACATTGCCACGAACAGGACTGATTTACATTTATAATATTTCTTAGTCATATATATTTATCTATTCTTTCTACTCGTATCTTGAGTTATTAATATTCCTATAGTTATTTACCTATTAGAATATTCCTATAGTTATTTACCTATAGGAATATTCCTATAGTTAATACGTCTCTCTATTTTGCTTTACAATATCTTCCTCTTTATCTAAATGTTCTTTCAATATCTTCTTCCACAATCTTTTTACTTTATATATAATCTTCACATTACCTCCCTGACGAAAATAAGAAGTTTCATAAACGTTTGTTTAGCATTTACGTAAGCGTTTGCGGGAGTTTGTTGAGTATTTAGAATTGTCAGTAGAGAGTTTGTAGAGCGAAAATTGCACTACAGCGTTTACGGCGTTTTTTAAACGTTTGAAAAGTCTGAGCAAACTCTCTACACGAAGGTGTATTAGCGTTTATTAAGCGTACTTTGAAAAGCGTTGCTTCAGCATTGCAGAATTTTCACGAAATGTTATATACAACATTTGATAAGCGTTCTGAAAGCATTCAAAATCCAACGGCATTGAATAAGCGTTCATACAAAGTTTGAAAGCGTATAAACTCTTAAGAAACTATCATCGAACTGTTTATAAAGCGTTTTATTTTCACCAGGGTTATACCTTCTTTATGTCTGTTATGTTTAATTACATTTTCCTATTTCATATTAACGGATACCATATTGTCCCTATATAATACATAATACTGCTAATTCTGTTTTTTCCCTTCAATTGTGCATCCTTATCCCTTTATCTTTCCTCTTCCTATCCAATCTCTTTATTGTTCATCTTATTTTTTCTTTATTTTCTTTTTTCTAATTTTTTTCTATATCTTATTTCCTTACTTCACTCTATTTTTCTTACTAACTTTAAAGTGTTTCCTCTGCTTTTTTTTTCATTTTCTATATGTTTCTTTCTATTTACGTAATCAAGAAGTTTTCCATATCCTATATTATTTTCCTCTTATTATTCCTCTTATTATTTGCATTTCTATCCTCTTACTTATACAATCTCACTATACTTTGTTTCATCCTTTTTCAGTATATCCTTTATTTTGCTACCTTTTCCCATCCTGTGACAGATTTTTGGCAATAATTTTAATTAAAATCACAGAATTTCTTTAACCGAGACACTTTCGGAATCTGATAAAACCGCCATGCTAGATTGATTTCGCGTTCACCTTCTACTCTTTCACACTAGATGACGCTACAAGTCAATGTGCAGTACTGAGAGCAACTGAGAGGTTCGACCGTATGGGAGCTTGAAGTTATTTTGACAGGCTGCGTCACGAATTTGTGTATTGCTCGTCATTGTACAAATTATTACTTAAACGTGATTTTGTTGAAAGAGTGTCGTGTCGTCGTGAATGAACAGAAAGTTCTATCTTGAATAAATAGCGACTGTTTGAGGAAACATGCGATTGTATGCTCATCAATTGTCAACAAGATAATGTTTCGCATAAGAAATAATTGTCGTGTAAAATATCGGTCGTGTCGTTGCATTTCTTAAAGTGATAAATATATTCGCATTAACGAGCAAAAATGGCACTGGTCAACATTGAAGGGATTGATCCCTGGTAAATATATGCGTAACCTTTACAGATGATATACTTGTATACATATTCACATATATAAGCATACATTGGAGCTATCATGTACATTGCAAAGGAAAGATGAAGTCGATAACGATACATCACTGTGTTAACTTTTGTATCTACAAATCTAATAAGCTATATTTGTTACCAGGCTTACTGAGTACGATGCCTGCGAGAAGCTGTTCCGTGAGATCATGGAGCAGTTAACCATGCGTGATTCAGAACCAAAGACTTCTAAAGTTTATGCCAGCTTGTCAGCTAATATAAGATTACGTATGAAGCAATACACAAGGGAGGTTCAACAATTGAAGAGCAAAGTGGAAGAAGCTTCCAAGTCAAGAACAATGTATCCTTTTATCCTTATGTATCTTTGTATATACTTGTCTTTATTTCTTTAGATTCTTTAGATAGAAGGGGTTTCTCTGGCATTTTATACTGAAAAATAATATTGAAGCATTTTAATATCCAAATAAAATAAATTCTTTAACAGCAATCGATATGACAGAACCTTTGAAGAAGCTGAACGTAGAACAAGACAGGTGGAACAATTGCAGAGCAGGGACATTCAGTTACAACAATTATACGACCCGCGTACGAAGGATTACGCGTCGTCGCGCGCCAGCTTATTAAAATCCGGCTCGTCGGCTTTTGCCGACGGTGGCACGACTTCTTGGGCTGCCGACGAGGACGACGAGAGACCATTGGATGTACACGTGACTGTCAGTGATCTTATGAGCCATCAGGAGCAAGTGCTGAAAGGTGACAGATTAATTCTTAAATGAATCATCAAAACAAAAGTTGTAATGTGTGTAATGTCAAAAAATTAACAATTATTTTGAAAGGATAAACTTACATTATTCAACTATTTTTACAGAGCAAGACAAAGGCTTGGACGAGCTGTGTAAAGTGATAGCTCGTCAAAAGGAAATTGGACAGACTATTAGCAATGAAGTAAATCATCAAAACGGTGAGTGCTGGACAATTTTGAAATAAGGTACGTTCTGCTGAGAATGAAATCCCTTAAACTCCTTTCCATATGTTGCAATGCAGAAATAATTGACGATCTGGCTGATCACATGGAAAGGACCGACGAATCATTGGTCAACAAGACTCAGCAAGTCCGTACTATTCATTCCAAAGACCGCACTCTTGGCTATTGGGTGGTGATTGTTCTACTTTTCGTCGCTATCGTTGTTCTTGCTTTAGTATAAATAATCTTGCTTTAGTATAAATAATCGAAAGACATCTCTTTGATTTCAAGATATCTATATCTAACATACAAAGGTCGGATACTGCACTTAAGCATTTTTATGGGTATACCATACACGGGAACATAAATTGTGTTTTTAAATAACTCATATATTAGCTAAGGATGATTTTATCTTACAATTGTTGAGGCAGATTACGTCAGCATTACGTTATGTACAAATTATGTGTATATAAAGATAATATATTGATATTCTATATCAATCTCTGTCTTTCTTATGAGATTACTAATATATATTCGCTCTGCAAGAATGTTATTCCTAAATTCTTTCCGATTGTATGTCCTGATACTTGAAAATTTTATATAAAATAAAAAAAGAAAAAAATGGTATATAAAATAAAAAAAGAAAGATATCAACGGCAAGAGGAATTTCGAGATAAGGGATAAAAGATCAACACAGTCAGGATAGTGTTACATATTTTGCATTTGTTTCTCTTTTTGTATTTTCATATCATAAATAGCTATCCTGAATCTTGTTCTATGCGAACTCTCTCTCTCTCTCTCTCTCTCTCTCTCTCTCTCTCTCTCTCTCTCTCTCTCTCTCTCTCTCTCTCTCGGCGCCACTGTTACAAAGAAAAATTCGCTATTGTTTCTGCGTTTAATTCGTTCAAATCAAACATATGAAACAGCTGGACTTGTGCCGAATGTCCGCCTTGATCAGGATCTCTCATATCGACGTGTTATAATAAATAGTATCTCTTTCTTTCAGTACTTGCTTCCCGACATACATTCTGACACAATTAGCAAGCGAAAGAGGTGGTGCCTTGACCGTTTCCCTCTTCCCTTTCGCGCGCATTTTTAGTTCATCAGTCATGCATCGTTATCGTTAACACAGTATCCAGCGCTTGCTTGCCTACATGTACGAGACACGGTATTTCATAGAATTACGTTATATACATTGGCGCAATTGTTCTCCTCTCCAGCGGATACATCGCGTGCCTATTTTACAAGCACCCTCGATAACTCTCTAAAGTTTCGCACAAATGGATTTATCGTCGGTGGAGTCTAATCCACTGCGACAGAGCGCATCGCTCTTTCTTTCTGCGTAACGCACAGCGGAGATATATCTCAATTACACGTACAACGCACTGCGTCGGACCTCTGTAATCGATTTGGTTGTACTGAATATTACCTCTTACATCGATATGCTCGCAAATATTGGAACTTCGCCGTTCAATTGTCGAATGAAACTTCGCTCTTGGTTTACATCGCGCTCTTGCTTCACAACAAAACTTCACTGCGCCGCCAGCTATATGATTGCCACTGAAACTCAAGATCTCGACATAGAAATCACTACGAACGTCACATCGATTATCCCGAAGCTTCGCGTCTTTTCAAAACAAATAGGCTTTACGCGTGGTAAGAACAATTCTATGAATGTCGTTTTTTCTACTATTAATAAGGGCCAATCGAACATTTATGCAACGGAAGTGGTGGTGGGCCGTTTCCTTAAACATCGCCTCAAGTTAAGCTGACACGCGATCGATTCTCCTCCGTTTTGATGAAATATACTCGGAGAGAATATTATAATTTCTTTACATATAAATTCTTTTAAATTTTTCTATGTTTGTAATAGTGCAGAAATAGGCTGCCAGCAAGGTCGATCTTGCTAAAGAACATAGTAAATTTTGTTAAAAATATAGCAACATTTTTAATTAGCACGTTTTAGTCCCTAAAGTGTAAATAACACATATGAAATGAAAGGACAGTCAACTACGACAGAATGTCGGTCTATTTCTCTCTGTTGCAAAATTTTATAATAAATTTTACTATAAAATTCTCTCCGTATACAGAAGATGGAAGGAGCGAACGATCGGCTTCGACCTTCATTAACTGTTGGCGACTTTTTCACGACGACAGTACATGCCAACGGCGCGAAGCGAAATGCAAGATATAATGTTCCCGGAGCGCGTTCCCAATCGAAGACATTCAGATATTTTTCAACGAGACACACGAATTCTTTCTTTCTTTTTCCCTTCGCTCACACGAGCAGCTGCGATTAATTCGTTTGTAATATAACTGCATTAAAAGACAGATTGCACACCAATAACATAGCGTACACACAGTGTTGATTACGTGGTTTTTGCAGCGAGACCAGCAGAGTGGTGCGCTAATTCTTCGCTAAAGACCAACATCGGCTTGTCTCACCTCCAATAATCTTCTTTTCTCTTTTTCTCTCTCACATTCTCTACTGACTGATATATAATGTGTATATATATATATACATATATTAGAATATTTCATAATGTCAAATGGGTCCCATTAGCCGCTAATCACTTCACGTTTGCGCCACTGGCCCGAATTCAAATGCGTCGACTCGCGTGTTCTCAATGCTGTTCTCATTTTAACGAGGACGACGACGATGACGACGACGACAACTTTGTAATTCTAGCTAAACATCGAAGAACATCGAACTGTTTATGCGTGTTCAATCCCTGCAGTCAGTCTGAATCTAATTGACAATGTGTATACCGAAGGTATGTGTCTCCTTTGTTGTGCTTGCCTTCTGCTTGAGTTTGTGCCGCCTCTGTTCTCTCCTCTCGAGTTTTACGCTTAGTTCGGCTAACGACCACTAATATCGACTAGAGATGCGCGTGTGTGATCGGGTGGATAGGTGTAATCGGTGTTAACATACTGAGCGCACGATTGTTCAACGTGGAGTCTCTCGCTATTCTTGTTTACGGGCAAGTTGTTCCCGCACATACCAACTACACATGCTCCTCATGTTTCCGGAGCGTATTGCACGCCGGGTATCCCATCGATATCGCAAAATCAGATCTGTTCTTTCTGTCTACGCCCTTCAACTGGTTAACAATAGTACGATCTTCTGTCTCTCCCCTCCGCCTCTTCCTTTTACACTCTCAGTATCTAAAAATAAATTTCTCTTATTTGTATGATGCACCAGAGAGCGCGCATACAGCTAAAAGAACAGATCGACTGGCATTTCCTTTTCGATGAAATTTCATAGATTCGAACGTATCGTTCAACTTTTGTTGTCAGAGTTTTGAATTACATTTTTGGTAAAATACATTCCAGAGAAATTGAAGAACAGGATTTTATTTGTATACCCGATTTAGTTTTCTTTGAGCATTTCTGCGATATGGAGTCTCTCGTTAAATTCTCACCGGAATTGTAAAAATGTCAATTAAATTGTTCTCAAATTAATAATTGATTTGAACAAATGTTTTAATTTAACTAATTGACGATCGATTTGAGCAAAATCAATCGAATTCAATGGAAGACCGTTCAATTGACGATTGATATGAGCGAAAGGCATCAAAGATATTTCAATTAACAATTGAATGATCTTCGATTAAATTTGTTGAAATCAATTGCCAATTATTCGATGGAAATAGCTCGTATTGATCGTAAATTAAACACGATAACTAATTTAAAAAGTAATCAATTACTCGCAGCTCTGATCCTCACTCGTCTCAACGACGACTTCTAAATCGCCCAATAGTTCGTCATCGAAAACTGATGGCGGTATCGACGAGACACTCCGCATACTCCTGTTTAGACACTTGGACATAGTACAACCGATATCATTCTGCAATATGAACCCAGAAGCCGCTAAGCAGCGAAGTGACATTGATCATCCAAGCTCGGAATATCTACAATGTTAATTCACGCCGACGCGCCCGCCAACAGAGACACGCGCACAGTAACATCGAGACGTTTCTCTCACACCACCGCGATATTCATCGTGCTGTCGATAGCATGACAATTGATCCTGTGGCGATTTTTCGAAGAAGTCTCGCGTAGATGCGCACTGAGAAGAATGCACTCGCATGTGCGCGCAGTAGAGAACGTCAAAGTCGTTTCGCTGTAGTCGGGACAGCCTTCCGGATCGGTATGTCCAGTGGCGGATCGAGACATCTCGAGGTGTCAAACGTCGTGCGATTCAGAAGCCCTAAGTATCCACGCGCGTCGCGTAACATTAAACTATCTTACTTAGAAAGGAAATTCAACACGAAAGGGAGCAGCAAGCCTTGCCGCCTCATCGCGTTGAGTTTCGTTTTCACAAGAGCCGTGTCTAATTACTTATGATCTCTACTTAGAAAGATCTTGATTATCATCTTGATTAAGATTTCGATTATGACTTTGGTTACAATCTTTACTTAGAAAGCACAACGGAGCAAGGGTTACACTCGCGAGTATACCCGCCGCGTTTCTCGTCTGAGACTTCACGAAATTTGTTTAATAGTACAATTTATTTATGTGGAGACCTCCCCTTGTATAAGAACTCCCGGACGCCTATCGCGCCTGGCAAACAGTAATTTAGCAATCCGCCACTGGATACATGTCTTAGTCTACGTCTACGAGGCAGTACTTTTTCCTCGGATATAACATCTGTTGTCGCGTATTCCTACAAGTTTGATACAGAAGACGCTTCGTGGAAGAAGAGAAGAGCAGGCTACACTCGGATGACATCGAAGAGCGTCTCGCTCGCACTGACGTATCCGGTAACGTGTAATTCGCTCACTCGCGCGCGTGCGAGGCGAGGACGACGGCTTCGCACACCGTCGCACGCGCACAGGACAGAGCTATCAATTGTTCGGACATTATCTGGTATCCTAAACATGTCAAGTGAAACTTACAAACGTTCTCTCCCGTTGCGCTTCTCCTCTTCGGCTCGAATTCGTAGAATTCGATACGGTGCACGGCACGGCGCTTGAAATTTGTTCGATAAATTTATCGAGCTCGTCTCGCCGGGAGCGCGTCAACCGACCAGGAGGTCGCGTGTATTACGACACATACAGGATGATGCACGTAACTGGAACCACTTCGATAATGCCGTGAATATTGAATCTAGTTGAGAGTTGATTCCAATATTGAATATTGCATGATACGACGAAGGCGGCTACACAATTCATCATTCCAGTTTTACTTGTCGCTTGCAGTTTTCAAGATTTCAAGATCACTTTCAGTTCTTTTGTTTTAAATGAAAATCAACTTTCATTCTCTGTAATAAAAGTTGAAAGTAATATTAAAACAAATTCAACCATGTTAGGCAATAACTCTCAAACGAATCTGATTTATTACGTTTATAACGATCCATCGTTACGATTCTAAAACAAAGTGGCTTCTTACGAAGTGGTTTCAGTTACGTGCTTCAGGCTGTATATTGTGTATGTTATAACATGTAAACCGATTCGGCTGCGACAAATTGCAACGAAACGATAGGCGACAACGAAACACATATACACACATATACACACACACGCGCGCCACACATACACACACAGCGCATATAAATACGCGAGCGGCGGAACAAAACACGAAAGAATGAACGAAAAGTTCGTTTTCCCAGACATACTTGATTTTTTATTTTTTTCGTTACAATGTACATCGAATTCTTGATTCTTGACATTAAGGCGAGGATCATGAGTACTTTTTTTTTTCATTTTCTTTTCTTTTTCTTTATAAACTTCTTGTTTGTGGCTTATCACCTGCTGTTGGATGCACATATTTTGCTTTCTCGTTTTCACGTACGTGTAATAACTTGAGCGTTCATCCAGACCGCGCTTTCGAACCCGACGACAGACTGTGTCCTGGTACATGCCTCGAGCTACGTTCCGACTGTCAAATGCACGCTTCGAGGAAGCGGAAGAGAACCTCTATCTCGAGCTATGCGCGCGCGCGCGTGTGTGTGTGTGTGTGTGTGATGTGTGGGGGATGGAGATGTATGTATACGACGTTGAGTGCGTGCAATCGTGTGGTACCATCGAAGCGACTCGACAAATCATCTATGAGCGCAACACCTCGCTCTCGTTTACTTAATATCACATGATTACGTCTAGTCTCTAATTTACGCTCTAGGCAACGCTAATCGTATGCAACATTGTTATCGTGTGCCTTGCATTTAGGTAGGTGTACAAGTTCCAGATTACTAGCCCCCTAGCAAGCCGGTAGGTGCTACCACATCGACACTGACATCACGTTTGTGCTTCGTCGAAAACGTATCGAGTGTTGGAGGATCGGTATGACTTCCAGCGGAGCCGGCCGAGGTTGCTCAATGCTGCAAACGCGCAGCAGGAGGCTCACGTTGCGACCAGTCGCGATTTTCGACAATCCCCTACCGACGTATGGCTCTCCCAGACCTCTTTACGCTTGCAGCACGGAGCAGCTCAAAGCTCGCTGAAATTACACGCGGGTCCTTGTAAGCCCTAATCGAAATTCTCATTCAAAGTGTCGCACCGTGCTCCGTCCAATCGCCCAATCGGCGGCTTTGACCACGTGTTTGTTCGGTCTTTCCTTTTTATAGTGCGTCTTATAACCAGTGCGCGAACACTTGGGTCTCCTCTTGGAATCTCTTGGATCGGCCGCTCAGTCTTTCGAACGTTCTCCGATGACGCGACTGCATCGAGAGAGAATGAGTGTATGTGAATGTACGTATGCATGTGTATGTTTGTGTATGTACGCGAGTCGTATGTACGCGAGAAGTGAGAGAAATAGGTAAAGATAGATCCAAAGTTTTCTGCGTGTGTTTTATTGTGCTCACGTGTTAGTATAATAAGCACTCTTGGTCGTCGCATTTATGCGCGTCTCTCTGCCGACGATACGTTACTCGACGTACGACCGACAGAGAGAAAGAGAGACGCGTCGTTAAGATTAGATTCGCAGATCCGAAATCGTATAGAAACGATGCAACGCGTACGTCGCTGAGTACAAATATTGTATCTAGAGTAATTGTATGGGAAACGGAGAGGAAAGGCGGGAAGAAAGGATTCGAGGGCAGGAGCGGGAAGATGGAGGAGATACACGGCGGCGGCGGCGTCGTTTATTTACGTCTATAACGTGGTTAATATAAAACGCGATCCGTCTCGAGGTTGACGCGACGCGAGAGTCAGCGGAGTCACGTGCCAAAGTTGGGCCTTCAAACGATTGCAACTCGGCACAATGCTCGTGGAGCTTAACGTAGCTAGAAAAGTTCGTCCGATGCCCACAATGCGATATACCGATATACTGAGACTGCCGGCAGTACCGACAGTACCCGGCAGTACCCGACGCTTCTTTTCGCGCGACAAGAGACCGTCTCACGTGTCTCGCGAGAAAAAAAGAATCTTGCGGATCGCTTAGCTTTGTTGCTGCTCTGTTCGTTGCGTTGCCGCGCGCGTACAAAATTTCGTTCCCAGTCGAGTCGACGAGGCTTGCAAGTGCCCTAAAGTTCGTCTCATCGCGACGCGCGACAGATTATTAAGCTCGGACAATGTGTATGTGTGTGTGTGTGTGTGTGTGATTGTATGTTGCATGTATAACACGTTAACACGGTCGTACAAAGTTGGACTAGGTTCAAAAGAGCATCGGGACGAGCGGTTACGCGACGATCTCGATGATTTCTCCGTTTGACGCGTTACTACTAGTGTGATCGATCCTTCTCACACATCGGGGGTTTCTCTTCGTACACTCGCTATCACGCAGGTCTTATCCATTCACTCGATCAATAGCTACTACAAATTTTTGATCCGCCACGTTCGTTCCTAGCGACACATTTCCCGTGACTGTCGATTAATCGAGAAATTGGGAACGTGTTCGAAGCGGAAGTGACACTTCAACAGCTTGACTTTTCGCACGCGTCAGTAAAAACGACTAATCGCTCAAATGTAATGCGCAATCAGCAAAAGACTAAGGACGTTAGAAAAGATAAGTATTTTATTACAAAATTATATATGTATTTATATGATGTATGTATTATGTATGTATTATAATGTATAATTATATATGTATAAAATATATATATATATATATAATTTATTATAATATATCCTTATATTTTAGCATCTCTTTGCTCTTCTTCTGCTGATTGCGCGCTACGCGTGAATGACTTTCTTCACTGACACATACGAAACATTATGCTGTAAAAATATTAGTTCTACTTTAAATACATTCCAGTCTTCTCGATCAATTACAGTCATGAGAAACGAGTAGCTAGAAACAAACATAGATGGTCGAAGAGTCTTTTGTAATTATGGATCTAATAAATTGTCAGGTATCCACAGTGCCGAGTGTATACTGGTATAGCAAGTTTAAAGGCGGGAAGAGTTGGGGGTTCACGCACAAAATTCACGCTTGACATCGCGTTTTGACACTTGGCGGAGGGGGACAAAGAGAGCGAAGCAGGCACAGGCATGTGTTCGTTGTGGTCACTCGTGACTCCAAAGCACATTTACTAATTTAATTTACTTCTATGTAATTTACTGACAAGATTCACGAATACACACTTCTGCTGACTCGATTTTGTAATTTTGCATCGTTGACTTTCTCGTCCAATTTACGTGTGTGTGTATAATATATATACACACACATGTACGATATATATATATTCATTTATATATATATATATATGTATGTATGTATATATGTATATATGTATATATATATATATATATATATATATATATATATATATATATGTATAATTGTAGGATATCGGTACGAGATCTTACTCTTTCTCTCTCTTTCTCTCTCTTCTCCTTTCTCTTTCTAAAACTACTTATTCTTTATTTTATCAGATCATCGCATCCGGTCGCGTGCCTGAGAGCACGCTTCCCGTATCTGTGTACAATCCTCATGTGTATGTATGTATATATATATGTTATATGTCGTGTATGTCCTCGTGTGTGTTCGTAAACGTCTCCTTGGATTATACATGATGAGCTACACAGTGTTCCGCAAAGAGTTCTCTCTACTTGTACCGTTAAAATTAATCATTGCAACACGATCATGGTATATATATATTTACATTTACTATCTACATTATCTACACATCAACAAACTGTTAGTTTTTTTAGCATTTCATCGTATTGAATCGTTAATCGTCTCCTGCCAAAACGTTATATCTCGCCTAGTACTTCATTCCATCCACATATCGTTCTCAAACTCACATTCACACTCATTCTTCCACGATCATCGTTATACTCATCATCATTATTATTGTATTATCATTATTTTCCTCGTCACATTGTATCATCAACATCAATATCTTCGCAATTACCTCTTATCGACGTTGTAGCAGTTACTTAAAATGTGTCATATATTCACGACTAGTTCGAAGTAACGATCATCGTATGAATATAATAATAATAACTCTTCAACTCTCGAACGATTCGCGGATGCAAACGTAAAGCAAATCAAGACCAAATCGACGCAGTCGCTCGCAGCAGAATATATACATGTATATGGATACATATAAAAAAAATAAAATAAATACGCCAACTAAAAAAGAAAAATGAAAGAAACAAGAGCCGAGAGTGGCTAATAAAATCAACAATGATCAGCAGTTACGCGATACACGTACTCGCGCGCGTCTCTAATAGCCCGCTACCAATCGCGTAACTTCGGACTACAACAGCCTTTCCTTTTTCTTTTTTCGTTTTTCTGGTTTGCCGACCACATATATCCCTTTCGAGGCTACATCGTCGCCTTCGATTCACCAGCGTCGCCTCGAGCCAATATCATTCGTCGTTGTCCTTGCGCACGGACACTGACGATTCTCCTTACTTCCCGGCGGAATCAGCCTGCCTGACAGTACCGGGTACTCCCCAAAGTGCTGATGACAATTGGGCTAATCGGTATCGCGACGTCTGATACGATTCCGTCCTCTCCGGTAAAGTCTCTTAGAATCGTTAGTCTTCCTCTAATCTCTCCTGAGGGAGTGGTGGGCGAAACCTACGCGAGGCTCGAGAGTTCAGGTCAAGTTAGGCTGCGGCAAGGGCAAAGGAGCGGGCTGGGGGTACGAGGCCGTGTCCTATATGAAAGCCCAGCATTCCAACGTCTTGACGACGAAGTCCTCGCGCGGCGCCAACGGCTCGTTGCCGTACGTGCTGCAGGACTGCGTCCTGCCCTGGTATAGATCGCCGTCCAACCACAGCCCGAACTTGCCGCTGGAAAGAAGAAAAACAAGGTAACGATTCCGTGAAGATCATGGTGGCCTATGGCGGAAGATCGGAGAAAGAAACTTCGAGGAAGAGAGGAGAAAGAAACTTACTCTCCGGCGCCGATCGCTAGACTCTCGTTGTTGCCCTTGATAAAGTATAGGTTGTCCCCGGTCCAATTGAAAGACTGGAACCTTGGCGTAAACCTAAAGAGCAGGGACTCGCCGGTACCGTAAAAGTGGTCGCTCACGTGCAGGGAGCACGAGGTCAACGCACCGAACACCTGTAACGCGCGCAGCTAAGTGACTCATGAGGGCTTGCGAGCTACGCTCCATAAGTGCAACGGAGGAAAGAACGCGTCTGCTCTAGATAAACACTTTTCCACGCACGCTAACGATAGCACGAAATGCGATGCGAGTGGAAAATCAAGTATCAAGAAGGTGCTCATGCTCGCATGAACGATTCTTGTGATCCTGATTCTTGAGTTTCCGAGTGAATTCCTAGCAGTTGTCCTTCGACTAAATTTTCAAAAATCACGAATTTAAGTTGGTGCTAATATGAGAACCGAGCGCTAATATTGGTGTGTGAAATAAACATTGACATTAGTAGACAGCTACTTCACAACATCATACGACTATGATGTCATGATGAATATCATTAAATATAATATAGCACAGCTCTTATAACAGCAACTCTTATTAGCATCAAGTTAAATTTGCCTTTACTTAATTTTGATTAATTTTCAATTTAAAATAAACACACAAGAGAAAGAGAGAGGGACTCACGTTGCCTTCAGTGTCCTCGATGACTAATAGGATCGGACTCTCGATCTTTGCCATCTTCCGATACATGCTATTGAGACTGAAGCCGTGCTGACTGGTGCTGAAAACGAGGGTCCACTGATAACCCTCCGCCCTCGCGGGCAGGTGACGACACAGTTGTTCCCTGTGCTCATCGCTGAGTATCTCCGTCGTGCCTATCAGGTCCGGCACGATGACGTCGTTGTCCAGGGAGACAGCACTGTTCGCGTAGAGAGCTCGCCTGAACTCCTCGCTCATAGACAGTACCTGCGAAAGCGAGCGTGAATCAGCGATTAACACATCCACCAGCGTGCGCTCTCGACAATGACGTACGTATATGGTGTATAGTGAATCGCTAAACTCTCTAATCAAGGGGGTAAGAAGCATAGTTGTCTACCAATGACGACTTCCTGGAAAATGCTCGTGGCACAAGTGAACATAGAATTGTATATTAGCTTGATGCAAAAGATTTACCGTTTTCTCTTTTTTTTATTAAATTCTCGTAAGAAGTTTAGATATCAAAAGGAAAATAAGAAGTCCTTAATATCTTAGATATCCGAGTCTACGTTGTTCATTTTAGTTGTCAAAATGATTAATCCTTTATGAGATTGAACAATTTCATTTCCTATTTCATTTGACAAGTATGATAAACCTCTTGCATCAATCTAATACATAGACTGAGCGCTTTACAGGAGGCTGTAAAAACTTGATTAGAAAAGGATGTTTCTGTTATTGCAGACATCGATCTTTGTCCAGTTCAACTCTTACGAGAAAGCTAGACGAAAATATTATGCCTGTGAACAATGGAAAAAGAATTTCAGCTATCTTTCAATCTTGTCTGCAGACCTCTCATAAGAAGGCGCAATCTATGCGTGTAAATCTATGATGGATGCTAATGAGATTCTAATCGATGCTGCGCTTTGACTAAGTGCGAAGTGGCGCACAATTGTCGACATTAAGGTATACACGTGTGTGGAATGGTAACTCTTCTAGTATTTGACGGGAGAACAAAAACCACACATGCACACGGTGTCTACTTGAAAAATACCGGGCGAGATATTTCGGTATGTGTATGCCAAGAGAGTCGATCAGAGTCGACCGGGACATTGGAGTGATTGTAAGTAATTGCGACGTTGAAATAAATGTCACACCGCGATATATCTTACTGATCAATGATCTATTCAATTCCACCATTTTTAACACATTTTTTTATATTCCATATTTTCAACACTCCAATTCAATCCCATCTAATTCTGAATTCCGAAGAACCTTATAATTTCCCTCAGATATAATAATATACGCTATCAACGGATCCCGAATTATTCTGATATCCCGTTTGCTTCTGACCCCCTCAGTTCAGCTAAAGTTCTAAGCACATTTAGGGCACTACCACATCCAAGTGTCGTGTTGTACTCCGCCAACGTGGTCTTACTAACCGCTGGTGTGTCGCGTTTATCCAAGTAAATTGCCGGATAATTATTAACGCGGCAAGCCACCGTGAAATATGTGTCGATATTAAATTACTTTTGAGTCCGCGGTTCGTCATCGCGATTCGTCTCGCTTCGCTCTACATCACGTGCTAATCTGCAATAATGCAATGTGCACAAGAGCGAACACACACCGCACAAAATGTCGAAGCTACCGAATGTTCCTGGGATGCAAATCGTGTCGAGGTGATCGAACTCTCTTTTATCGCGTTAAACTCGACAGATTTTGGGGTGCGTATAAACGCGAAATTTTGAAGGCGACATGAGTGAATGAGTGGGAATAAATGAGAAGTATGACAAATTCAAGTAGGATAATCGACTTGAAGTCCATAATTGAACAGAAATTACCGTGAAATCTTCTTAGAGAAACACGAAGAATACTTCTAAAGCATCAAAATTAAAAAGTGACCAGAGATGCAAAAATAGCAACGCGATTAATCGGCTAAGTTTCACAGAATAACGAATTACATTATGAATTTCTTCATAAGATCTCCCGTCAACTACAATCAGCGCAAGTTGACGAATGATACTGAACGTTACGAGATAAGAATGCAAATTGTCGGCCGCCGAACAAAGCATTATATGCATCGTTAACACTGAGGAAAAAAATGATGTAACTAGAATTATAGTCGTTTTTGGCCTCAACCACATATTTTGTAATAAAATAGTAGTAGTAACATACACATAAGGCTATTATCACTAACATTATAGTAGTATTTAATAAAAAGATTTTCTTGACTATAATAAAAAGATGATTTTCTTGACTATTATAGTAAATATTTCCTTATGTGTTGATCATAATTACAAATACCAAGCATTTTTCTCGCAATGCGTGCTACGTCAGTGATAAGCCCGTCATCGATTCGGATAACGACGCGCCTGTGAAGCACCGATAAGCTGAAAATAACGACTTTGCAAAATGGACGCGCATCGCGTTACATGGATGGACACGTGTCGCACCTGTGTGTCGTGCATGCTCTTCTTACGAAAATGATATAACCCGATAATGCTTGGTACGACCGCGTGTTGCTGCACGTGACAACGAAATACTCGTTCTCGACGGTTGTTGCTCAACGTCGACCGGAGCAGCACGTGAGGAAAGTGAGACATAACGATTATCACGCATACATTCCCGACGATGTGCAATGCGCGCTCGCTTTCGCTCGGAGAGAAGACTCTGCAATTTTTTTCCTTTATTTTGCCATTCTCGATCGTGAGTTAGTCCCGCGTCACGTCGATCGCGCGACAATGAAAAATTGCCACGCGTGAAATTTTGTTCCCGCTCAGAGAAAAACTTGTTGCGCGCGTATTACGATGATGATAAATACATGTCATTTTAAAAAAAGGCAAGGATCTCTCCTGTGCTTGTTTCCATTCTATCGACCGATATGACTTGCGAAACTAATTTAACTTTGTTGTGATAAAGTTGTGTGCTCCAGTTTCGTCTGTCTTATAATGGGTTTACACAAGATGAATCGCGTCGGAGTTTTCTTATTATTACGCTCTAACGTTGCCTGTTTTGATCTGAGCATTTTTATTTGATAATTAATTGACATTAATTGAATTTTTAAAGAAAGAAGAAAAAAGATAGTAAAAAAAGTCGTTGAGAGAGAGAAAAAGGGTGAAAGAGAGTGCTACAGCGGGATTATACGCACGGGTTATCGTGGGAAAAATAAATGGATAGAATCGTCAATTAGTCCTTCGATCTATTTGCGTTGCAAGGATAACGAGCCGTGTCATAAATTAATACGACAGATTTTATATTACGCACATATACACACGCGTGCACACGCGTGATAAGCAATGTGATGACATCGTACGGTATTGTTGCATTAAAGTCGCCATCAAATTGTATTATTTATGAGACACTTGTAGAAAAATTGCGTTGGAGAAAAACACGCCGCTTGCTTCCCGTTGTTAACATTTATCGTTCATTAGGCGGCTAAAAAGAGAGACAGAGGGAACACAACTCAGATAACCTTTGACACATTTGGTAGAACTTTAACTTTCACGCGCGAGCATTTGTAATTTAATCGCCAGTCGTGTTGACTCTATCGAACGATGTTGTTCTAACTTTGAAAAACAAGCTCGACTATTTTTCACCACCTAAGAGATATATTTTAAATAATAATGCGAAGATATGAAAATCCGTAAACATGAATGCGGGTTAATGATGCGGGCAAAGCTAAAAATGGAATTATTTGAAACAATTTCTTATCAATGATACCACATATGAGTGACACATAAAATGATTGGAAAATTTTTGACGCAAAGAGCGAAAACTCGGTCCCGTTTTGGAGACACAACTGCGAGTCTGAAAGTACTTATCGTTCGTCTAATCGCACAGCGATCACAGACCGAAAGAAATAGTCGGTAGAAAACGGAGGAAATCGCGATTGAAAGTTCGCCAAAGTCAGGTACTCGCGTTTCCGATCGAGATTGCGAATAATTCCGTAATCGCTGCCCGGGAGTTTCACTTTCTCTCTTGTGCGCCACCTGCGCGAAAGGAAAAACGCCTGGCGCTCACGCGATGAATTTTTCCCGCGTTTGTTGCGCGTGCGGGAAACGCCAAATCGCGTTTGTTTATCTGCACACGCAAAGATTGCATTATCGCGCGCGCGGCCTGTCGTAGTTTCGACATCTGCCTCTCGTATGGGCCGACATAAGCGATAAAATTGTCGTCATCACCGGTCGTCGTCGATCGTCCTTTAATGACGCGCCAAGTTCTTTCGATGCAGCGCGTTATCATCGTCGCGCGAACCCACTTCCACTCGGGCGAGCCGCGTTAATTTCAAGCCCGATAATAGCGACGCGCAACCAGATGTTTCGCGCAAACAGCCCGTTAACCGGCGCAATTATCGGCTTTCTAATAAATTAGCCGGGAGTCATTGCTCGCCGTGCGAACGCGCACACGAGGCATCTCGCGTGTTACCATTAGATCACGCGAGTGTGAATAAGAGGTTTCGCGTGATGGTTTGTCGTCGTCGGTTTTATGGAAATTGTACTTCCCGACTTCCTACGTCAATAACAACTTGATCAGTTGACACTGAGAGACGTCGCATTCTAAGCAGAAGTCATTTTTTCTGATCTTTAAGGTTAACTGCTCCTCTTTCTTTTGAAGAAGAAAGAAGATAACAGGTCATTCAAGATTTCAAGATATCTCGCGCAGAAAGACTGAAAAGACGTACTGATCGTGAATCACCGTTTTCTGGGGAGTGAATTATTTTTTATCTGGTCTTTGACGCTAGTCGTCCCCCTTTCTTTAAAAAAAGAGGGAAAATATAGTGTAACATTCATAATCTGGAGATGTTTGACATAGGACTGAAGTATTCAGCGCTAAGTAACTTCAGAAAAATATGAAATCAATCGAGAAATTATCTTTTAGAAAACGATCTTAGGGTCGTCTATCGGAGGAATCGATCCTCGTTGCTGGGTGATATGACTAGTATATGATCTAACACTATGTTCTCGTTTAAAATTCAAATTCCGCGAGTTGCAACGTTAATTAATACGCTTAGTCGCGTGATTGCGAGCGATATATGCAATAACAACAACGTCGCGGCAACGGCCGGCCACGTGGTTACAATCTGAAATCCGAGAGAGACGGCATCCTCGATTTCACGTGGAGGCCATCGGGATCGAGTAGATTAAAATAACTTGGCTGAAAACGCGCCTGCACAAGGCGACCCGAAGCTACACGATATTTTTCTTTCTTTAACGGCGAATTCGCGGACGCGATTCGGGCGCGAAAACTTTCCACCGCGGCAATTATAACTCCCC